AATCGAACGTTTATGCGCCATAAAAATAGTTGTTCGAAAAAATATTTTAATTAGGCGCCTTTTTATGCGTGTTCCCACATGGAAAAAAATGTTTGGAAATATTAATTCGGATCTTACGGTGGAAAACGCTTCCTCGAAATGACTGAAAGATGGATGTGCCATAAACGTTTATATCTAAATCGTTAGAAGGCCGTAGCAGATGGGTGTAAAAAAGGTAACTAATTTTTATTGAGCTCTTTTAATGATTCGATTTTATGTCTTTTGCATGTAGTGTATACTGGAATTATTTGGATATTATATTTTAGATTAAAATTTGGTGGCTTATAAGGTCTGGTGTGTGCATAAGTTTTGGATATTATTAAATTTTAGTAAAATGCTATATCTACTGCAATGATGGTCTAATAATTGTTTTACAACTTCTCGTCTTCTAACGATTTTTATTGATTTTGTAACAAAAAGAAACGGTCGTAAAAAACGTTTATTTACTGCTTAACTTTGTAAGTACGTGGAACATTTGTCAATCCCCAGCATTATTCGTGTGGATTTTATCGGTTTCACAGGTATTTATCGCATTTTCGTCGAAACCGGTGCATAAAAAAGTCATTCGTTCTCCTACAACAGAAAGTTTAAAACATGTTGTAACCCAGTTCAGTAAAAAAACCTCAAAACTAACAAACGGAAAATAAATAAACAGGCGGATAATGCTCGTAACGAGACCGGTACATCATTAAAACATGTTTATAGAACACACAACACCCCCCGAACGCGCCACAAAAGAAAAATAAGATAAAAAACAGTACTGTACGCGTAATCGCGTTCCCAAAACATTCGACACGCGGCCCGAACAACAGACATTCGTCGCCTAACAAGCGACGACAGCGTCCGACTTTTGTTTCCCTACGTAACCCGGGGTCGAAATCTAAATAAAACGAAATAATTAAAAGATATGCCGGGGACCCCTGCGGCGGGCCCTCCGGCTTTTTAGAGAGCTGATATCAATTTGCCGGTATTAGCGCAAAACGATTTTATCATGCGAGTATCTACGATAGTAGATACAGAGACCCCGGGGATGGTTATTAAATTTTTTTTGAACTGTCTTGTGTGAATGGGCGAGTCGATAAATTTCGAGAAACTACCTAACGATTTGACGTCTAGCAATGTCATCTGTTGTGGCCGACAAGAAAATGAAGTTACGCCGCAGATGTTCTTATTCTTGTGTAGTTAAGGGACAGGAAATGCTCTATTTTCGACAATAGGGCACTAATCTGCTTTTGGCACGAGCGTACAGGTCCGACGAATCGCAACAATATCTCGTTAAAAATATTCTGCAAGGACAGACTGTATAAACTATGGAAACTATTAGAAAGACGGGCTTGGCGCCTTCTTAAATTTTATGTCAAAGTTTAATTTTATTGCCGTTGTAGGGACAATTTCGAACTCCTGCTAGGAAAATCCTATGCAAACCACCTTTAGGACTTGACTTTTTAATCCGCATTCACCAACGGGAAAATATTACTCTGAGAACCGGAGGATTAAAGTTTACTGTTTTGGAAAAATTTGCTGGTACCTAGCTTTTCGGAACTGTGATGATGAAAGATGTTTTGAATGAATTTTACTATCAGCTCAAACAATTTATATTTTCGCAGAAGAAGATGGGTAAATTGACTACGTTGTTTCTGTAGATTTCCTTAGAAAACAAGCAGTAAATTCAAAATATAATACAATAAATAAATTATTCATGTACCCAATAATTCAGTATTACAACGTTGAATTAACCGAAAAAAAGCCCCGGCTATATGACGAACATCAGCGAAACGGGTTCATAATCAGATCAACTGGCTCGTCTGACTTGGAGAATGCGAAATCTGCATTGGGAATGCTGAAAGATTAAGATGTCAGAGCGGCTTATTTGCCGTTCGGTACGGGCGAAAAGCGGCCTACTTGAAAGCGTATCGCAACAAACACCTTCATTTATTTCTTCCTAGTGACATTTTACATTCGACACGGAGATTACAGCGCCACACGTGACAATTGCCCCAGTGGTCTTTGTCAATTACAGGTCTTTTTTCTGCATTTGCGAACTGTACCATAGTTTAACCACAGAGGCGTATCGTTTTTATATTAACATGTGGGTGATGAAGATGTTTATAAAATCATCAGTTTATTGAAAAAAAGGTAGGTACTTAGTATAAACTTATAGAAACAATTAACAAGGTTAATTTGTGTCGTTTCTAACATGTGGAACAGATAACTACACAAAAAATTCTTATTTCTTGATTATTCGGCTAAATACCCTTTAGTAGTTGAACCTAGTAAAATAAAAAAAGAAGAAGAAATTGAAAATTAAAAGTACCGATCCGATGACAACGGCAACTATGCGACTTGACAGTCAGTGCCTACCAACCTACTATAAGAAAATAATAATAATTTTATACAAGCGTGGAATTTTGACAATAAATATTTTTTTGGATGATTTAATTCTGCTTTTTAACATTTTCTATCATCCCTTGTTAATATTAAATTAAATTCTGCAGGTATTAATATTAATCTATTTTGTGTAGGTATTTAAATTGTCAATTTCCATTTTTTTATTTCTTGGAATATGTTAATTTAACCAACGCCAATGAGTGCACGCATTTGGAAGTAAAATCGAATGGGGACACAAAGAATTAGTGAACACCTTGCCCTTTTTTTCAGATCTCGTACAATAACGAAACTTTGGAAAAAATATAATGCAAAGCCGAAAAGTCGATTTCGGATGCACAATGGTCGCTAAGTATCGGTTTTTGGCCTTGTCATCGACTCGTCACTAGTTAATCCGGGTATTTTTGTTAAAACGTTTACAGATAAAATCGGTTTAGTTAACAGTAATAAGATTTTTGACGTGCATATTCATAATTTTGTAAAAAGCTTACCAATACCAATAATAGTAGTGGAAATTTAGTTTACCCTATCATCCCACACATTCACAATTCACAAGACCTCACAGTTCCATATTATTTCCATTTAAAATATATCTCTGTTGTTGGTTGAGACAACCTGTATTAAAGCAACATTCAATGCCGTCAATTTGCTCGAATTTCGCCCCGATATATCCCGTAACTTTTACACGACGGAATCGCGTTTCAATTTGTGCAATATTTATAGTTATTGGGGAACGAGGGATTTAGTCATCATCCCTTATTTACCGCGGTTATATGGAGAGATATAGAGAGGTTGTTTGGTGTCTATTGGACAGCTGCTTATTCCCTCGATGTGATGGCTAATTGTCATTCGATTCCTTACTAAAATTTAAGTGTCTGTTTTTATGGTTTATGGGGATCGGTTTTTTTATCAGTATTTATCATCGTATATAGGCGCTGCTAACAAGCTAATTACGAGTACATGCTTTTTTTCGGATTATATTCGATATTTAAACCAGAAAAATATATCGTTTTTTTGTAGTTATTTTGGTTTATTATTTGGAATTGTTTGAAATTCAAAAAAATATAATCACCCTGATAGAAATAAGCTTCTGCAATTTTATGATGGCATAATAAAGAAATTCTGCGAAAAATATAGAGATTATGAAACAATAAATACAAACAAGGAATCCTTCGAAGAACTGCGTTGATTTGATTGATTTTGCATACACATAGGGTATACCTATTAAATTTTATTAGATGGGGTATTTACCTTCAATTCAAGAAGTTTCATTTCCCAAGAAATTTACTAAACGTGGAGAAATACTACTAAAATTTTCCTAATCTGAGATATCATTATAAGGATAATCAGTTAAGTTGAAGATTAGACATAATTGCCTAAATATAGATAGCTACATTTTTGAAAATACCCTTAAATTCTCTCTACCTAAATAAAACCACACTTTATTACCCTAATTCCGAAAAACCAGCACCATCCAATTTCGACCATTGGACCACTTTCGGGGCCCGACAGAATTTTTAACAAGTCATCAGGGACTTTGACGGGACCCGCCGTGGGTGGAGAACTGCCAGGACTACGGTCGATCGCATTGTCCTGTCGTTCATCGGACACAGACAGCTTTGTAACGTTTCAATAAGGTGTTTGTTTGTCGATTCGCCTTCTGCTCTTTCGAAAATATTTGCCATCGATCCCAAACGTTCTCCATCAATTTCTCTATTTTCTGATGCTTACAATTTTAATGCAAAAATGGAGCCATTCTTAGGCAGATTGAGTGGCTTATTTTTTTATACTTGGTAGAATTTATAATACTGCATTACTGCATTTAGTATTGGTATATGTATATTTTTTAATATTGATATATGTAGTTAATATAATTGATCCAGTAGATAGTAGATATATCAAATTGTATCTATTAAAGATTTTTGATACTTTGATGTAAATAATATAATTAAAGGCACTCAGTTTTTGTAACTATTGGATTTGTGATGACCTTTTTAGAAAAATATTTATCATACCTATAGAAAACTTGTTTGATTCGAAAATTATATGTCTATAGCCAAGAAAATTTAAAGCAAATCATGAATAGGAACAAATTAACTTCCCGGCGTGAATTTCATTGTAAAATATCAGGTTTTCTACTTCCCATTCAACCATTTCCTCGAAAATATCTATATCACTCCTTCATCGAAGACCTCAATTCGCATTGTAACAGAAATCAATACCGCAATTTACAATTCTTATTCAGCAGAGAGCCAGCTGAAATGCACTCTTTCAATAGAACAAAAATACGTCCTCGACGGCGTCGCACCCGCATCGCTTTCCGCGCGGACTCCATGCAGTGTTACCAAATGTTACCAGAAAATTTACAAAACAAACACCGAAACCCCCTAAATGTCAGCAAACAACTTAATACGTCAGACATCCCTACCGGGTGCACGGGCGGTCGCTCCGCCCTAAGGAGGCCGGGTAAACGTTATCAGGGTTATCATTGGTGGAACCTCATTGGCTACGCCAGCCGGGGATATTTATATCTTGTTATCCACAAACTGGTTTTCACTTGGAGCTCTCCGGTCAGTGTTTGTTGGAGCTAGCGCGAGACTAGTCGAGTATAACATTTAGCTGAAACGTTGTTTGAAATATGGTGAAAAGGGAAGATACAGTGCTTGTTGTTCCTACGATGGCTCGCACACCTTTGAAGTCCTCGTTTTCTATCAGTTCCATTCTCCCCGAAACTGCTCTGGAAGCGCCCAAAAGTCCGCAGAGGATCAAAAGCGAGTCGGAGTTGAGCGATTCCGATTGCGATTTGGATGTTACTGGCGACGAAGATGATTCACCGGCGCTGGATTGCACCAAATCCGATGATGGTAAATCAGGTGAAGAGAAGAAGTCTAAAGAAAAGCCGCCGTACAGCTACAATGCCCTCATCATGATGGCCATCAGGAACAGTCCGGAAAAAAGGTTGACTTTGAACGGGATCTACGAGTACATCATGACCAACTTTCCTTACTACAGAGACAATAAACAGGGTTGGCAGAATTCCATCAGGCATAATTTGAGTTTGAACAAGTGTTTTGTGAAAGTTCCCAGGCATTATGATGATCCTGGTAAAGGGAATTACTGGATGTTGGATCCTTCCGCTGAGGATGTGTTTATTGGAGGTAAATTTCTAAATTCTATTACCTACAGATTATACTTTGCTTACTTGTTCAAACCTACTTTTACAAACTAATATTCCGAGAAACTATCATTACAAACATCAACTTTGAAATTTACTTGTATAAACAAGCAAAGCTTTTCTAAATGTTTAGTTCGGCTATATCAAACTTTTCCTCGAAATATTCGCATTTCTATTACAAACATTCGATAAACTTCGAATTATTATTGATAGCAATATAAATACCATCAAAATTGTCATTTCAACAAACCATTTCTTTCCAGGAACCACTGGTAAACTTCGTCGCAGGTCGACGGCAGCTTCCAGATCGCGTTTGGCTGCATTCAAACGTACTCTTTCCATGTATTCGCCGCTGCAACCGATGTATCCAGGTTTCTATCCACCCAATCCGGCGCTTCTAGCCGCCGCTTACCAGAGGTATCATCATCCTTACGTGGGCTCCATGGGGAGTACAGCTGTACCGACGGTTCTTCGGCCGTCGCCGATGCAACCTCAACCAGCTCCGCAGCCTTTCAATATGGAGAGGTTGCTGAATGCCGGGCCCGGCATGGAGTTCTTTAGACCACCGATGGACTTTTACGGTAACTTTAGGCTACCTCCTCCGCCTGGGTTGTTGGCTTCGCACCATCAACTCGCCTTGAGTCCGAATAGTAGTTCCAGTTCGCCCGAACCTAGAACAAGTCCGGACCATTTGTATAAACCAGTACCTGTAATGTCGAGGCATAGTTGAAATTGAATTGTTGCAATTTATTTGTAAATTTATTGTTGTATAGCTTTAAATTTTTAAGGAAGAATCTAAATAGGCACCATTTATATGAATTGTTAAGTGTTGAGCACTTCAATTTGCGGTACTTGCAATCGAAATTAACTCGATTATAAGGACCTATAGGAGATTTATCTCACATTCTTCCGATTTTTTGGTGTTTTTGATCTCTAATGTGTAGACGTTGTTCACATTGCACATGTTGTAAATAGTTGTATATTGTCATAACTTCTATTGTGATGTTAATTTATAAAATATGTACAGTATTAAAATATATATTGAGAATATTGAATAAACGAGACTATGCCAAGTAGTACTCTAATAGGAATATTTTTGTTTTATTTCTTTAGTGTATTTTGAATCAGCAGAATCATATAACTATTATATTGTGTGAAAATAAATGCACTTTTTTATGAATAATGTCAGTAAAAAATTCTACCTTTTGGGGATATAAAATAAGGGACATTTTATTGGGCTTCAATGGAACAATACGTTTATTGCAAACCGCAGAACTGGCTTCCTGTAAAATCGAGCAAACTAAAATAGTATATTTTATAACCTGTCATAACTGGCATTCAAAATATTGTGGAATCTTCGAGACGACCATAGAAAACGAGTGCGGTCTTAGCGTTACAAGGCCGTCAACCTCAATTTGTGAAATTTTATAGCTCCTTCAGGTTAAGCTGAATAAAGTCGTAAAGTTTATGATATAATTAAGAATGTCGGCATCGGCGACCGCATAGGTAAGGGGATCGGTTTTCGAGCTATTCGAGAAAATATCGCCCTTCTCGGAAATATCCGCTAAAATTGATTTTGTTTCTATAGTAGTTTGTTGTTTCCGTTATTCTAAAGACACTATTAGGTTTGTTCCAGCAGCAGCATGTTCAAATTATGTTTGTATATTATATTGCGCATGCGTTGATGTATACAAGTTCGTTATAAGATCGGAACATTTCTTGCTGGAACACCTCGAGCAGTTGTTGGGTATCCTGTAATATGGAAATGTTTGAATTCATTTTCCGAATACTGAGGAACGGTTTCCTCGATATAATTTTTTGGCCTCTGCGTTTCTTCCAACAATTCTTCAAAAACGTCTTCCGATAATTCATCAGAACTAATGTCCCTTTCACTACTTTCGCCCATAGCTCCAAATAAGTCAATAACTTCCATACTTTAAAACTACATTGTAACTAAATAAATATAACATGTAACTAACAAAACCATACTTATTTTTGAAATGTTCGAAATATTCTCGCTTCAAACGAGAACAGTTTTGCAGATCTTAAACATGATCCAAACAAAAAACGAATTCTGCCGGAACTGCAGCAAACATTTACTCAGAACACCAAATACCACGCTGCTGGAACAAACCTCGATATTGCAATTAAAAAGACCTAAAAATAGTTAAAATTAGTGATGAAGTGAAAATTAGTAATGAATTTTTTTATGATTATTTTCCTTAATATTTCCCACCTGTGTACGTTTCAATCCACCCGTAAAATTCGAAGCTAGAAAATTTAAATTAAGCACCACTTTTTTCCATAACTTAATTGATACATCAGCGACATGTAGAAAGGCCAAATATCTTAGCTCGCGTCGGCCGGATCATTAATCTTCGAAGATATATTTTCGAAATATGCAAATCGGTATTGTAATTGTGGAATATACAGATATTGTCGGTGATTTATCGTATAGTTGGGTTTACATTTGTACGTATGTTCTCACCACCGTGTCAATCCGAGGGGTGCGTTCAACACATTACACACAGAGACCCCATAGGCGGAGATCTGAATTATTGGCTTCAAAAATTAGTAGAAGAAATTGAGAAATTGAATGCTTTGGAATGGTAACATACCTAGTAGCAAATGAGCATAAATGTATTGAAATGAACACAAATGAATTGAAATGAACAAAAAACAATGAAACTGCAGGTAGGTTCATAAAATACAAAGTTCAGCAAATCCTGAGGGATCGAAATGAACAGCAGGATTTTAGAATGCCTTCTCAATTCCTGAGTTGCTTTAGAGTTAATTTAACAATTTCTAAATTACCCACTTGTTCAAATAAGATATAGATCTACGCCTATGTGTTGACAAAATAGACATGGTTGTTTTCTGTTGTTTTGGGGTGGCCGTTCGTCGTTGCCCCATATAAAATATTTCATAAATCATATTTAAGGTCTATTGTAGTGCAAGCCGCAATACCGGGCGATGGTGCAACGGATAAATTGGTCCATACAATTCGGAAATACGGCGGTGAGCGATACATCGGGACGATGTTAAGGGGCTCGTTCGCCTGGAAATCGTTCGGTTTTGTGTCAAACGTCATTTGAAAAAATATTAAATGTCTCGGGTTAATTTATTACCTTATTCGTCTATAAAGTGTTGCCGAAGACTTGTATGGCGAGATATTAATTTTATTTACACACTAAAATCGTAATTTACTTAATCAAAAAAGACTGATTATTTTGGTGGTCAAACAAAGCCTGTCCAAAACCGTCCTAATCAAGTTATGGTTGCAATTAAAAAATTACCTCCCAGTAGAAACTCCTTGCACCGAATGAATTGAATCGCCCACCTTATTTCACCAATTAGTAATTAGGGACGAGTAAATAATATATGGAATGGTCAATTGAGACGACACAACGGTGTTGGAATTTTTGTTTGTTAGGGCAGTTAAGAGTTAATGCGCGTAGGTTGAGGAATATAACGTATATATCAGTCAGAGGTCAATATTTATACACAACGTGTATCGTGAGAGCGAATTTGAGCCTACTATTTGATGATAAGACATTTTTACTACGCAAAATCTTATTAAGAAATGTTAAGTTAATGGTAAAATATCGCTATAGGATTTTTCTATATTTCAAAACTATGAACGGATTACTTATGCATGAGTCTATAATTAATTGTAGGTCTCTTTGATCCAAATAATTACTTCAAAACAACTTTTTTATATCCAATTTTACTAAATATTTTCGTTTTGTGGGTAATTAACCAAAAATATCCTCTATATTTTGTACATTTTTATTGGAGTTTATTATCACAATTTCGGTCCGGCCCTTATTCCTAAATTAGGCATCATTATTTAATCGTCGGTCCGAGTGCCTCTGCTGGTAAATAAACTAACGTCCACTGTCCATTTCATCAATTTATTGTTACGTTTGTTAGGTTTTTATTAATGTAGGTGTACAGTGTTGGTCATGTTGGCCTGCAGGTCAATTAGAAATTAAATAAATGTTGACGTGCTTCTCGGATCCGATTGCTCGAAAGTACCGAAGTAGCCATTGACTCATCCGCTCTATTTTCGAACAAATTAAGAATATTAAATGCGCAATATTGACTCGAAATTGTTACAGAAAACGTTCGTTTATTTTTTATACGGATAGGTACTTAGTTCGAACATAAAGGAGTTCGAAGACTAAACAAAAAAAGCGAAACTTTATTCAACCAATCATTCCATCAAATGAACATCTGACGGTCGCAGCCTCTTTGGAATCACCGATTTGTAAAGACGTTTTAAGATACACATTTTACGGCGATTGTTAGGATATCGAAGAGTTAAGCTTAAACTTGTACCGCGCTGTTTATCTGATCTTTACTCTATTAAAGTAATGTTGTTATAACCGCGGTGTCTGCTCATTGTTTGGCGGAAACCTTTAGCGTTATTGACGTGTGTGATCCCACAGAAAAAGGCCAAACGGTCCGCCTGAGCGGGCGCGCTCTTTTTTTTATCGAATTTAGTCGCTACAATGAACTAAATGGTTTTTAATATAACGGTACGGACCGAGGATCCATTAGTTTGTACAATGTGTACGAATGGAGAGGCTCTAAAGACTAAATGACTTGTCTTAAAGACTTTACGTCAAACTAATAGAAGACAAGGATTGTTTTCTTTTTCCATTCGTTTATACAATACCTAAGGATTTACCGAGTACAGTCTTTGCAATTCGACGACAATGTTCAATATTATTGTCAATAAAAACTCCTATTATTTTACTATTTTAAAGGTTAAATTTTGAGAATATATTGCCCATTATTTTTCTTAATAAGCACGCGAATTAATTATTAAAGTTAATTAATTTTCATAACAAAACACATTGCACTTTGCTTCAGCTGTTTCTCGTATTTACTCAATGATTTCCCTAACGATATAATTGTTTCTATCGCTAATAAAAAAAGGGAATTAGACTTTAAAGTTGAAAGTTCATGTCGCACTCGTGCCATGTCAGATACAGCTGCTCAATTAATAAATAAAAACAAGAAACACGACGCTTCTTCCGTTTTATTTCTTCGAGTAATGAAATGTGTAGTAAGTACACGAACACACGCACAGGACCGTCCAATACAAAATTTTTGCCTCACTCTTTTATTGAATAAACCAGAGCAATTCTTAATTGAAACTATCTTGTTCAATGTTTCCTCAATACAATTAATTTACCATCTACATTAATTATAAAGCAGTGTATAGGTAAATAGGTATTTATACATTTGAACCGGCCCTGTTTTTTAGCCCGAACGTCATCGCAGACGCGACACAGTCGGTTCTGGTAAATTATTTAATTCTCCAAGTAAATTGAACGGCATTTTCAAAGTTTAAATGGAACGAGCACGAGTTGAAATAAATATTATGACCCTACTTCCTGCGCTTTTACCACTCCGCTTAATTGGTTAAGTGAAGAAATCGGCCGTATGAAACTCATCGCTGCTGCTTTTGATAATAAAAGTAATCGGAAGACAAAGGGTCAGCGAAGAATCTTGTTGTATTCGTGCTCGCAGGATATCTCGTGTTGTTGTAACAAACGCTGCTGCTGTTAAAATTGGTGCTCAAAATCTCGTGAAGCAAGCTTTAATGAGGTGTCGGATTATAAATATTATTGTGAATGACGGATTTAGACTTGTTATGATGAGAAGCATCAAACGTCAAATTCGAACATATCACACACCTGGGGACCACACTCGGCATTCTAATTTTATAAGCTCCCAATTCGAGATAAGCTTATTATAATGCCATTGATAAATAATTCGATTTACTATTTTTTTTTGGCAAATTTTAAAAATTATTGATATTCGGAAAAAATAATATTCCTTCATACATTAATATACCACTCATGGCCATTAATCCGGTAGATTAAACTCATAGAACTCGGTATACGACAACGAAACCTTACAAATAATTTACCCTAATCGGTGTATGAGCCGCTCAATCAAATACCCGAAGCGGCTTCTAACAAATAGAGATGTTAGTGTGACAATTCGCAACAAATCACCCCTGTTCGACCCCTATGGCAGTCCGCATAAGAGCCAAAATGGCTCTATAGACGGCAGATTAACACGTATGTTTAATAAATAGCCGGATTTGGCAGCTGTACCGACGTAGAGAGGGGTAGTTAACCCCCCTAACAATCGACCAGTTCGATACTGGGTGGTTGTTACACGGGGTTACTCGCTCGATATTCGTCCGGTCGATTCTACTGCTATTGTTGTGACACAATACCACAAACATTTGTAATAATATCGATGTGCTTTTGAGTTTTCGGATAAATATACAAATGCCACACGAAATAACCCAAAAATTTGAAAGGAAATAGTAGATTTATATTCGGTTTTTTTATCAATTGCGGTTATTCCGCTCGGATTGAAGAATTTAAAAGGTTTCCATAACGGTTTTTTTCAACTAAATCCTAATCTACACTCATTCAATTCTACCCAAATTGCAACAAAATCGATTACTCTTCTCTAGTTTATCGCTAAGTTTCAAAATACTCTAGCTATACTCTTACTTTAATACGCCTTCAATTTAGCAATAGATATCAGTCTATTTGTTAATCTGTCATTTAATTTGTGCCTACACAACCATCGACTGGCATCGAACGATGATGTTGTGCACGGATCGGAATCAGCAATAGCGAAATCGAGTTTTGCAAAGTTGGCAAACCGCAGGACGAGAACGCGTCGTCTCGGGTGACGCGTCGCGACGGCCGCTACGTTCGCTAGGCGAAATGAGACCAATTACCCGGCGTTTCGGCGTCGTTATTGTCGCAAGGCCTGCCGGTAAATACGTGTAATATCTCGAACGCTGTCGCCTTGTTGTCGACGGTTCATCGGAAGGGGATGTTGTTTTAATGAAGCGCGCCCTCCCACCGGCAAACTTCGATTTATTAGACTTATTTTTAATCGGCAGAGTGGCTTTTTATTTTCCGGAATTCTTGTAAAGCTGTAGGAAGATGCCTTGAGGTGTTGAATACCACAAAAGTAATAGGATAAAACTTCACAACTATCTTGTACAATGCTCTCGACAAAAGCTTGAATTAGACTCCACAAGAAACGAATTTTTATAATCCCGTTTGAAACGTTTTAAGCAGATTTGCTGGTCTCGAATATTCGACAAAAAAATTTAATCTAATATTTCAATTAGGTCCTTTGCCAGGGTAATACGAGAAGGTTCGTTTGGTGGGTAAAAAGTGCAACTGTTTTCAATGGTTTCGATCAGTACAAAGATAACCTGATGCTACAAACAAACGTACAATGAAGCGCATACAAAAGTATTAGGTTGCTTATTTTGTTATTTTACAAGTAAGTAGACGAGATAATGTTCTGACCAAAGTGGGAGCCGCGCCCCTATGTTGGATTTTTTATATCTGTTGAACGGAATTTCGCTTTTTGATATGTTTGTTGAGATTGGGTAATTAGTTATTCGCGATTATTGTGCGCGAACCGGCTACATCTAAATTTCTATTGCACAATATAGACGATAACGAACAGGATGTGTTGAATCATAAATACAAAGTCAACAGAGTAATTGGTCGAGTTCAATTTGTAGACTTGAGACATTCTACACTTCACACAGTGGCTATTTGAACTCATTCAAACGATCCGAATTGTTAAATATATATCGCTTCTTTCGCATTGTACGAAACTACGAAGAAAATTGAATACTGAATAAGTTTATTCAACTTATCCTGAATAGACTGATGACAATAATCGCGCTGCAGAATTTTCCTATGATGCTGTAACATTTTTGTCCAATACATTAAACAAACTTTTATCTTCCAATTACCTCTATGTACATCCTGACACAACCATTTGGTACTGCAAACAATTGAACATTTCAACAACAACAAACACATTTATCCAATTTAGTCTTCATTTCATTGTGACTGAATTTCTTAATTCCGCGGCCATTTTTCTATTGAGGTAAACCATTAATCAAAACACCAATTTAACGCGGCGTAAGTGAACGTATAAATAAGCCGAGGAGAATAATAAACAATCCTTTGAGGTGGTAGTGGATAAAAGAGCTTTGAAGCTTTTGATGAACTGTTCTTTTATTTAGATACCCGTAGCTTAAGATCTGTATCGGCATAAAAAAAGAAATTAAAATTATTCGGTTTCATCAGAATTCAACTTTGAAACGAATCAAGTTTATGAATGGGCTTGGTAAAAACTACGCAGCCTGAACTTTCAACTCCTTAATGAGATAATGGTCCCGTCTGATCACGATTGTGGCAAGAGACAGGCAGATGCGTAGAGTATTTCCATTCATAAATATACCGCAAGCTGTGGCTACGCGTCCAATCGACATTGACATTTGACACTTTTTAATTGTCGCTGCCTTATTACGTATAGCAGCGGATGTGAATCATGTATGCAATCAGGCGAATCTAGTCGATTTTATGAATGGATAATTAGGAGCACGAGTCAGCGCTTAATTTCGGGAATCTCGATTTTGATTCTCGGTATTTAAATTTTATATTCACATTTGGAAAGGAAACATATTTTAAATTATATGTATAGAAATACTACCAATAAAGGGACGAAAATTCCAAATTATTATACTTACAAATATTTGAACCAGTATAACCGACCGGTTATCCTTTTGGAAGGAATAAGTTAAAGAGCTTAGGAATTGAATGGTAAAGCCATCGAGTTTTGAATACACCAAAACAGCTTTGTGCAGTTGTCCAAATTCCATCACACAAGGGCGTAAACAGATTACATGTCCGGCCATGTGCACCGCTCGAAATTTCAGGACCGGCTCGGATTTCATCTATTAAAATATTCAAAAAGAGGAAAACAAAAAAATTGAAAATTGAATAGTTTTTAGACCGGATCTGATCTATCCACCCGCTCTACCAGGATGGAAAAAGGACACCAGTATTAAGATAAGCGGCTTAAAAGTCGTTCGGTTGTATTTTCGTCAATACCTTTAATTATTATAAATACCAGTTTCTTTATTTTACCTTTGAAAAGCGCAGTTTTAACGTTTAAGAGGATTCCATTAGACTTTTTAGAATTTATAATTACCCAGGAACTTCTTATATTCCTCGTCGCAGGATTAACGCGAGGGGTGTCAACGAGGTGTTGAATGTCAAAAAAAGGAATTTCTAAATAAACGTTCACTCTATAAGACTTTAATCTCTTCTTAAAATAACCACTAAGTCTTGTATATAAATGTAGGCATTTCATTAACAGTTTTTTTTAATATAAAAAGTAACAAAGTCTCTCAATAGACAATCAAAATAATAGTTTCATCTAAATCCAATTTAAACTCGATATCTTCTCGATATCCGCTCTTCAAACAAACACACGTTAAACGTTCGCCTAGTCACGCATTTTCCGCTGGAAAAGCGAAACAAGCGGGTAACGAAACACCGGCCACGTGACCGGACAATAGGACGCCGTTAGTTTTGATAACGGTGATAACGACCGGGACGCGTGCCGCCTCTCGCTGCAGGGAGAGAGTACTGTTTCTAGGCGTCGGGACGCTCCGCAGGAACGGGTGGTCTCGAATCCCAAGATACACACTCGAGGGTTGATCTGATGATCGAATTGACACGTACGCGTCACGTGGAATTGCAAATAACGAGTCTATTATTTCGAATAACAGAAAAATTATGTTTAAAAAGTAACTAAAGAGTGTTTCAATAAGACCGCAAGATTTAAATTGCCTGTCATGTTTGACAGTCATAATAACACGTGATTATAACATGACAGATCGAAAGTTAACTGTTGGGAGTTAGTAAATATGGAGCATTGGATCTGGATATGGATTACTCCCGGTCGGGTCATTTCCCGGTTTGGTGACCAGAATTGGCCGCCACGTTTTTGTGATTTAACACCTTTGGACTTTTGGCTGTGGAGTTACTTGTAGCCACAGGTTTATACCAACATGCCCGCGATCACCGAAGCGTTGAAAGCCGAAATTAGACGCTGTATCAATAAAATACCGCCAAATATATACAATAATGCTATTGACAATTTTATCAAAAGAGTATAATACGCTAGGAAGTTCGCAAATTTTGCGATTATTTTAAAAGTTACAGACTTTTTGATCACCAAATTTTCAAATATGCAAAATTAAATGTTTTCTCTCATATCTAAGTGGATTTTTTGCCTCTACCTCTACAACTCATACTAAATTTGGCGATCAAAAAACCTGCAACTTTTAAATTAATCCCAATATTTGTGAACTTCCTTAACTTTTGTGGAGCAGTATATTTTGTTTCATATATAATTCCCAAATGTACACATGATAAATTAATAAATATTTCCATATTTTGCTACAGTTATCATTGTTTTATTGAACCTTAAAATCTTGCGCTCTTATTGACACACCCTTTATAATACGGTTGGTACAGTTCGAGTAAAATAGCTGTAGATGCGTGAGATGCGCAATATATTTTTTAATAAAAAGTATAGGCACCAGTTATAAAGTTAGTACGCTCTATTTCCCAAAAAAACCATTCTATATTGTGATGAACTAGCCTTGCGATTAGGGGCAAGTATCGTTTTTAAGCGCACAATGTTGCTACAAACAATGTAACGGCAGAAACATGAACAATCGGTTCGATCTACGGCCGAGTTTGTCAGTAATTCGATATTTTATTGCGATTGTGTGTACGGGGAGGGTACGATTGTTCGAAATGTTGTTACATAGGGGTTTCGGAACTTGATTTTCTGCTATTTCGGTGCGCGTAAACAATGCGTTTTGCTCCTCCTGTTTGCGAAAACATTCTTCTAAGCTAATCTAACGGAAATTCCAAGGTATTTAGCTATACAATTCTTGATCTAAAGGAGAAATATTATATGGTTATAATGTCAAAAGTTTATGATTGTATAAGCTAACTGCAGACAGATTTTTTTCAGCAGAAAATAATCATTGAAATCATGCACGTTTGCCTTGCAAATCACGAAATTATAGAGCGTAAAATATTTAATATAATTCCGACTACAAGTACCTTATACCTAAATGATTGTTGCGTTAAGAAAACCATACAAAATAGCCCATTAAACAAATTGCTGACAAATTTTGATCGATATCAGTAGTCACTCCCTTTTCATTGAAAGATAAAACATCAGTATTTATGCAAATTTATATGAACAAATAAAATTGCGAAAGTTTACAAATCAATTCAATTACTTGTCAATAACTAACAGAACGCTGTAAACACAATTATAACAAATTAAATCGTACTTTAGGGTCAATATTGTGGATGTATGCTTAAATAAAACTTCGACATGTCCCTAATCTACCATCAATGCACCCTTAAGACTACTCATATTCGTTATAACGAATGATGATTTAGATATAGTGAAGTGCATAAACGATTATTTAAAATCAGGCACGTGTCTGTTGTTTTGCTCCTCCGCTAAATCTCAATAAGATACAAGAACGTGACCTGACAAAGACAATCACAGCGGGAAGCGTATAACATCACCCTTTTTACTCGAACCAACCCCGAATATCATACAACCACGTTGCATAGAATTTTTATCCTATTTACTTTGTCTCGTTCGAGCGTCTACTTCAGCGTTATAGTGCATACAGAATGCGTTTTTATACATTTCTGAAATCAATGGCGGGATTGATATCGTGAATTTGTAAAATTCGAACCACCCAGTAGCGAAAGATTTATATTTAACGAAACGACGAGTGGAAACCGAACCGCATCGACATTCATCAAATTACCAGCCATCTAACGCAATTCGTTTGGTTTGTATCATAAAAATAGAAATTCTTTCATTAGTGGCCCACACACGGCTCCAACCACCTTTTTCATGTTTACGATCCATTCGACTTAGCTGGAACAAGAACGTATCTAAAAACTTAGGATCTGGTTATATGGTGATATATTAGATTACACGCCGTAGAGATGGGAACAATCGCTTTTATCCCAACTAAAAAAATATGTATCCCAACACGTGTAATCACTCGAGTTGATGCAAGGTATTTACCAACGTTTTTTTTTGCAAAAGTATTCCATTTTCTTCTACATACTTGTTATTTTATTTCGTATGGAAAGTTGTAGGAATTCGACGCCCATCTCTAGTGATGTTATATATCTGTGTATAAGGCAGTATAGTTTACATGTCCGTGGATTTCGGCGAAGATGAAAAGAACCGCGGCAGTTTTTAATAAAGAACACATGGCCGCCGTGTCAAAACATTCACGAACTTTCACATCGATATCTTTGATACTCGGTGCATGTTCGGCTCGTCGTTCGAAAACCGTATGCATATGAAGAAACGCAAAAAAATCGTCGTTATCGCGGCCCCCCCGGGACCCGCGGAATTTACAACTTCTTTATATCGCGGATTAAATTAACGCGCGTATCTCATACGAGCGGACGTATCACACGTCGGGAAGGTCGCCGCTGCCTCAGATATCCCGGCCGATTTACATATCTCATCACCATTAACGTCCGGCCTCTTATTTCCAAAGCTTTTATTTATATTTCGAACAACCGCCGGTTCTGCGTTGTAAATTTTTTGTTTGCTAGTTATCCGGGACACTAACGTACGAAATGGACGAGTCGAAAGGCATTTTATTTTGTTTCGCTGCGATTGTGTCCCTCTTTAGTTGGGCATCTTAAACATGGGGTAAATTGTGCTGGTGTGTGTGTGTGTGTGTTTTTTTATTCGTCCATAATCTATTCAATTTTCTCAAGTGTCGGTTCCTTTATTAATTTTTTTATCTAATCTTCGAATACCACCCAAGATTTTAGTTTTAGGTTTGCATTAAAAACCACCTTGTGCATGTAGAATTGGTGTGTTATTTATTACAAACATTCTATATCGTTTTAAGTGTGATAAGTGATTAAAACACGTTTTTTTCCACCAAAAATGTATAAAATTTCGAAACATCGGACCACCCACGCCCAACTAACTGGAATTTCGCATATCAAGTGCCACTTATTGGTTACAAGATTTGCATCAGTAGATAATCAATCATAAATTATCATACCGGGTCGGTCCAACGCGATATGGACACAGAAATAATACACAGAAATGCGAGAAAGAGAGTGCATCTGGTCCAATTGTAATATCATTCGAAAGGGAAAGAGACACATTCAGAAGTAGCCAGAGTCATTTAGAACGGTTTTAAAACTGACTGGGTTAATTACAAACAGTTCAGGATAATCCAAATAGAACTGTCCAAAATCCAATCAGGACTAATTTGAACTCTTTTCAGAACCCCCAGAAGACTATTTAGTAAAATACTCGTCTAATTTACCTGAAAAATCTGTAATACAAAAATGTGTTTTGTCCTATGTTCACATCATCATCGGCGCAGCGCAGGCCGATCGGGTATAAAATATTTGGTCGAATTTTCGCGACAGCTTAAAACTCCATCGATAGTCGCCCGTGATGATAATAATGTAGGCGTCGAGAGGAAGTTATATCGAGAACCAGGTGGAATATCGAAGGCCACAAATAATGCGGGATCGCCGAGCGTTGAGTTAGATATGTGAGTGGTTCGTGTTTGGAGCGTATTAATATGGTGTTAACATATCTTTACATTGCACCCACCCGCTGCTATCATATCCACCTGATGAATCATACCAGCGGTACCGAATGGGTTTCGAGCGAAACTTTTAAAAATAATTTCCTTCTCGTATACATACATCATCACGTTTGTTAGTAATAAGTTTTGCAGAAGAAGTAAAAAAACGAAACTTTTGAAAAACGAAGATGTAAGTTGTGATATATTAATCGAAAAATTGGGTACCTCTGGTATAACATTACCGAGATATTCATATCCAGCAGTGTTTTACATGTTTGTTCGAATGGAACACAAAATAATGTAAAAAAAACATACCAGTTTCGTTGTTGCTGATCACTTACGACGTCTACGCTTGTATAAGCCTCTGCAAATAATAATTCATTTTAATGACAGCGTACATTCTTTAGCGGATCATTATACGAAATTCTATTTGTTTAACATTGCCATCAATTAATAACACAGCCGAACGAAATTTATTATGTTTACTTGCTAAACCGTGCAACGAGATTTCTAATAATTTCAACGCGATAGAACGATTTCGTTAGCGGTATTTTTCACGCAAAACTTAACACACTGAATGGGCTTTTTTCGGGAATTCGACCGGCACAAACGTCAAAAAAAAAACTTTAAAGTCGGCGTCAATAATAAGCGTTTGTGCTTTTTGTGCTTTATTTGACGGTTACGTGCCTATAAAGACATTAAAGTTTTTCGTTAGTAGAGCCGGCTACCGTACACCAAACACCGTCATTGTGGACCTTGTATAGACGCGATCCGCCTACAAGAAAGAATCTTTATACTTTCGGCGCTCACATTTTGATTAATGACGGCCTTTTTCTGTGTTGGATAATACCGAAGAAAACGCCATAACATTTGCCGAAATGTTCGGTCGACGTTTTGTTAAAAATACACCAAAGAGGAATTACAGGAACACGTAATCTTCGCGATAGTTAAGTAAACAGATCCCAAAAATATTTATACTATAATAACTTAACGAATATTTCGAATGAGTATATAATTTTATTCCGCTTTTTGTTCTGGTACACTTTTGTTATGAAGAAATTATGAGTGGTTGCTTCAGAAGAATTGTTTATTAAATACCACACTTCTTCACGCATAGTTTCAGAAACAATACGTTTCATTTTTTCCACGATTCAAAGCACCACCGTTGTTCTTTCGCCATTATTCTCTTGACAGGAAAATACGTCGGATAGGTGTTAATGAGCGCTCCAATGTTATAATTTCCACACCAATTTGTTTGAGCTTTATTGTGCGATGGAAGCGGCAAGTCATCCGCCGCTCACAGATCTGCAGGAAGCGCGATGTACCCCCTCATTATTACTCGAACGCGGTTCGGTTACAGTAGACACGCCGACAGTGTTGTAACCAGTAATTATTATCGGGCTCGTTCCTGCCTACCTCGTCCGTTATAATTGAAGAATTAATTTTAATTTACCTATCTGCTTGATACCGAAAAACTCCCGCTTTCTATCTGAATCGATGCAGCCGAGAGAAACTTTGAAGAATGTAAGCGCAAAAATTTTTATACGGAAAATAGGATATTTGAACAGTGACTTAACGCTTTAAACGACAACAGTAGTACTTCCACGGGCAACAATGAGCCCCCCTCATTGCTAATGAACGATGTACCCTCTGGGACTATTAGAGAACAATCGTGCTTTCTAGTACGGACCTCGCTGTGACATTATTCCCCGATTCCGGGTAAGCAAAAATCGAGCTGCAGAGGTGGAAGGTC